AAACCCTGGAGTACATCCGTCCATTAGTGTAAGTAAAGCTCACCACCTATTCAGAGCAAGAAACTGTATGGAACGAGCTTGCCCTTTGCCTTGTTCTCCAGCTATACCATAAACAGAATTTGAATTTTGCTTCTGAATGTCATAGAGAGAATGAACATATGTATGAGCATAGTTGAGTCTATGGATTATTCACAAAGCTTTTACTTGGGCTATTTGTTGGTTTTGATGCCGCTTGTTCACCTTGATATAATGTGTATTTTGCACTTTCATGGATGACTGAATATGTTTGAAGATGGGAAGAGGGGAAAAACGAAAGCTTCTTAGAGGTGGTGCAAGTACTGCTAGTGTGATTGTGAGGATCAGTTGTGAATTTGAGAGGGAATTCTCAGGCAATCTTTTTCCTTTAGTTTGCATACCTTTACCTTCCCAAAAAAGTGAAACTAAGAACTTCTGTGGAGCTAGGAGATCGGCAATCCTTTATCAAGGACCTCTGGACCTCTCCCTTTCAGTCAGACAGAAGCAAGCCCAAACACTTTCCTGGTCATAGCCAGAGAGGTCTTCTTAAACGCTAGGGTCTTGAGACCTCTTTTGCAAGATAGAATTGTTCAGCTTCAGGGTCCTGCAGTGTTGCATCTACCTCTTCCTTAGGATGTCCTTGACCTGTCTCTGGTTCTTAGGAGAAGTCTACAGAGGTTTCCTTACCTGGGGCAGTCAGCTCTCTGTAAGATTTTTTTGTTTCAATGAAATAAAGTTACCTTGGTTCTGAGTAGTTTAGTCCTTCCTTTTCTTAATAGAGGAAAGATAACTGTGTAATATTCTTTCTGTGGAAAATTGCTACCTTTTACTTAGAACTGGAATAACCTTTTCTGAAATGTCAGGCTTTCCCAGAGACTGGAAAATCCAGATCTTTATGGCGTAATATCCTTCTGTGGGAAATTGCACCTTTTACTTAGAACTGGAGTAACCTTTTCTGAAATGTCAGGCTTTTCCAGAGATTGGAAAATCCAGATCTTAATGGCAGCTGTTTCTAAGCACATTATTGTAATAATTGTTAATAACTACTCTGTTGATTGCTGTTATAAATCAGATCCACAAATACTACTAAAGCTGACTTATGATTTCCACACAAACAAACATGAATGATTTTGAGGTATTTTTTTAGATGCAGATGTAACTGAAAGTAGGTATTGATCTCAGTAATTATTATTCACATCTGTTGCAACTCTGAAATCTAGAGGACAGGTACATGCTGGTTTGTCACCTCAGATTTGCCACTAAAAAATGGTGAATAATACAGCTCAACAAAGTGAGAAAGCTGAGTAAAGAAGCAATATCCAAAGCTAGTAATAAGCAATATTCAGTTACATGTAGGTGCGTTTTTTGGTTAAAGAAAGCTTGCGTGTTTTGGTAAAAATTCATTTACGTTTCTACACTGCATGGAGCTTCAGAAAACTATGTGTTAGTTGCTGGGGATGTTTCTTCTTTCTTCCAGAAAAAAGAAAAAATTGAGTAAATCCTGTTTGTTTAAAAATTACCCAAGGAGAAAGCTTTTTTTGTTGTTCCACTTTTATGTGAACACGTTGTTCTATTAAAGAGGTATTTTTCATTAAAATAATACATAAATATTTTATTTAATGAATTTGTAGCCTTGAGGCTTCACTTCAGTACATGAGCCATTTTCTATTTTCTTTTACTGGAACTCTTGGTGAGCTGAATGAATTTCACATCCCCTAAGGAGATTCCTTTGCACAAGTTTAAAAACCAGAAATGTCATATGTTCTCTTCAGGTGCATGTTTCTTGCTGTGATGGAGTACCTTGGGTCAGGATTTGGCCCTGCATATGTCTTTAGGCAGGAATATAAAGGAAACCTCTGTTGTACCTTGCCATACTTCTGTCTACCAAAAATGGAGTTGTCAGCTTTCAGTTGCTAATCCATTAATTTCTTTTAAAGGTTAGGGTTACTTTTGACAAGTGACAGAGTACCGTGGTACAAACAACTGGAATGGGAGGTTAACATATCCTAAAAGAAGGACACAAATTTTCTCAGTGCCTTCTGGCTTAAATTGTTTTGAAGAGGGGAAACTCCCTTTATTTTGTAAAATGGCTAGAGTGTGGTCTACATTTGCATTATTCTTGTTGCACAAGAAGCATTTATTTAGCTGAAAAAAATCTTCTGTTATTGCCTTTCTGGACATAAAATGCCCTGGAGGGGGAAGAGGAAAGGTCTCTCCTTTTCCTAACCCACAGCTCACTCTGAAATCAAATCATTCCTCACTGTGAAGAGTAGCCTCTTGGCTATACAAAAACCTTTTACCCAGCATCTTTCTCTGAAGATAACTTAATTGGGAAAGATTCATAACTCCTGATACAATCTTCTTGTCTTCGAGTTCAGACCAATAGCCCAAGCAAATCATCTGAGATGAAGTTCCAAAATTAATCCTAAAGAATATGAAAAAAAAAGTTATTAGGTTAAAGTGAATTGAGCTGAATCTATACTGTTCTTTAAAAATAGAGAAAAACTTTCAATTTTTTATGTTATCTCTTATTCACCTCTTGCTGCTGATAGAGGGGAGGTTCATGTGCCTGGACTGCCTTGTTTGTTTAAAAAACAAACATCTGCTCAGATGTCCAACTTTATTTTTCATCTCAATTTACTGCACACGTTGGCACCAGAGGGAACATTTCCACTTGGGAACATTTCCCCCTTCCATGGGGCTGAACTTGGGCACAATTTCTGAAGAATGCGCTATGGAGAGGCATTTTTGGAAATGTGAGGGGTTCCAGGGAATTTGGAGTACTGATCTCTGTGGTACTGATTCCCAGGTAAGGCTGGTCAGGGTAGTTTCAGAGATTTAATGTTGAGTTCTGTGGCTGAAGCTCTAGGAAGAGAAATGCTCCTCGGTGTCGTTCTCTCAGATTGCTGTGAGAATAGAGGTGGGAAGCAGGTCAGTGTTTCAGGTTTGTGTGAAGTTTTCTCAGGATTGCGACCCCAAGTCTTGGCTCTCTGTTAGTGCTAAATGAATGACATCTGCATGCATTTGGGTCTGTTTGGGGTAAAGAGGCTTTGGAGTTTTTGCTTTTTTGGGAGATCTATAATCTACATTAAGGATATTAAATCATTCCCCATTTGGAAGAGTCATTGGGTACAGTTGTTGTATAACAGAGATATTGATACTGGTCAGACATCTCACATCAGGCAAAACACTTTGAAAACCAGCTTATTTCAGGAGCTCATTTTTTATCAATATTCTTATTTTATTGATTATTTTATGTTAGCATCAAAGTGAAGCACATTTGTAGGGAAAAAAACCTGCTTTTATCAACTATTATAAGTGTTCTAATGAAACCTGGCATTATTTGCCACAACCAGCTTTATCAGGGGCTGCTGAAAGACGTGTCAACCATTTTTTGATGTTAGGAAGGAGAAGCCAGTATACAGATTATTCCATAGTTACCTATCAGTGACAGCTGAAGGCAGGACATTAGGTTTGCTACCTACACTCATAACTCACTGTCCTGATTGTCTGTGTCCCTGTATTCCAGACAACAATTAATGAGTGTTTAGTTATTGCACCATAACCTAGCGTAGAGACCAGGTTTAATTGAGCCATTAGGGATATTAATTTTTTTCCACTCAAGAATGTTTTACAATACAGTGTGGAGTTCATTTTTATCTTGAAGATTACTGCTCTAAGCAATGAGCAAGAGTTACAGCTCTTACATAAGAATGGTTATTTTTCTCTTGATTTTGCTATAGTTATTCAGTTACAAGAGCGTGCTAAAAATGAGATTGCACTGAGAACAAGATAGGGCACAACTAACACTTGGTATTTAAGCTTCTGACAAGTCCCTCTGAAATTTTCAAGATTTTCTTCAGTGGAAGTAGAAAACAGGGCTAAGCAGAGCTTTTACAATCAAAGCAGGGTTTCCCCGAAGTCTTCAGCCATTTACCTTGCTTACTATTATCCTCTTGAATATGTCTTTTATTATCAATTACTATTTATTCATCTAACAGGACAGTTCATCAGCACTCTGAATCAATTATTAAGTTAGTGAATGCCTATTTTTACAGAGAGTTTTTTCCAAACTTTTTACTAAGAGTTATCACCAATTTTTTTTTTTTTGCTATTATTACAGCAAAATTTAGCATTGTACTTGAAGAATTCAAGGAAGTAACTGAAGTGTTCTTACTTAACAAAAATATTTGTTAATAGATCAAAAATATACTTTTTATTTTCTCTCTGAACACCAAATTCCTTATGGCTTGTGAGAAATCAGAAATCTAGAGGTTTGTTTTTTCCATCCATCAAAGCTCCCAAACGCAAGTTTTCACTTCCTGTATTTTTACAAATTTAAATCCTACCTTTCCCCAGAGACCTCAAAAAATGAGATCAGCATGCTCAAGATCCTGATATCTTCAGAAAACCCAACTTGAACATTCACGGACAAAATTTGTACTCTCAAAGCTTGCAGAATTCTACTTTGCTCGTTGGTCTCATATGTTATTTCACATGCTGTTTCTGATCAGCTTTAGTATTATCATGGTCCTGCAGAGTTACTGCAGGTTTGTACAAAACCTCACCTGTTCTGGGCCACTGTAGTATTTGAATCACCAAAAGCATCTTTGAGATGCATTGGGTTGTTGAACAGAAGATGGGTACACGTGTGCCTGTTCCGTGTGCAAGATCTCCTCATGCCAGCAAAACTTATGAAAAACCCAAACAAACTGAAGGACTGCGAGGTCAAAGAGAACTTCAAATAAGTAGGAGATGAAACTTGACAGTTTTTCTACGTGATGATAATTTTGCAATGTAAGGCAATTAGTCTCCTGTCTCCCTGTGCATTCACGTATCAGGAAGGAAGAATCAAGTAGTTGAATATCAGTACTTGCTGCGTACAGTCTGTAAAGTTGTTTAAGATCTTTGCACTTGATATGTTGCATGCAAACAGGTACATCATACATAATGGGGTTTTCTCTCTTGTGTTTTTTTAATGAAAGGTCTGAGCACCTCGGATCACCCGTCAAGGAGCTCTTCTCTCCCTCCTGGTTACTCTGCTTGGAACTTGACCTGGGTCATGAGAGACACATCCCCTTTCTTCTCCCATAGAGGACGACACAGTGAGTAACATGAATATGTTATCCTCGAGAGGCTGTAACTGACTGCCTAAGGTTATTGTTATAATACTGGAGTAAAACAATACAAGTCAAACAATCTGTGGTAAAATATCCCTACTGTCACCATCTGGAGGCACTAATAAGCCTTACTGTCCCTTACCAGCTGCCCCTGGAACCTTCTCCCACCATTCCCATGGGCCCAGGGGTCCCATTTCAGCTCAGCCTGACCTGAGGTGACCTTGGCCATCTCTATGGAGGTGCCTGGTGACCTGGGCTGCCCCAGCCTGCCCTGCTCACTCAAAAACTAGGTCCCAGACTGTGACATTTGAGTGGTATGTTGGAATCCAGTGATATCATAAAGAGAGGAGCTGTGTACTGAACTTTTTTCTTTCCATCTTCTTTTGTAACACCTACCCATTCCAAAATCTGGGAATCTGTTTTCCTCTGTTCTCTGGTATGACCTGTTTATGGGCTATCCATAGCCATTCCACTGTGAAGCACAATGGTCCTAGTTAGGGCTGGACTGCATAAGGCAATATCTAACGTGCAATCCAGAAAGTGACTGAAGTAGAATATATCTACTATATATCTACTACCAGTCTCCATGAGGGGAGATAAGGTGCTGAGAGGCTAATAAGATTTACTCACCCCAAGCCTGTAATTATCTGCTTGAGGGAAAAGTTTGACCTACCTATATGAAGGAGTCCCATATTTCTTCAAATTTATGTTGCAGCCTTTTATGTGTGCAATATATATTCTTTCCACTGGCATACAATATCTGCTCCTAGCTGTTGTATCTGCCTGAATGATGAGGACACACCAATTTCATTTTGGAAGCTACAGTAGTACAATCTTTTTTCCCTTACTTGGTTTTCTCAGAAGTTGCAAGAATGATTTTTAATTTACCCTTTATTACTTCTTCCTAAACTCTTTCAGTTTCTCAGTAATACTTTTCTAAGGGGAGGCTTTGTTCTTAAAACTTAAATGCATTGATTCCATCTGACAGCATCACATGGAGATAAATGTACTGCATCTAAGCAGAAATGATTTATGATGATTTTAGCTGGTTGCACAAGACCAAATTCTACCATATTCCAACCACCTGTTTTGCAAGGAAAGGCAAGAATTTGATGAGGTGTTACACAAAATACAATCTTCAGTCAGGACAAGTCTAAATTGTTTTCTCCCTCAGTAGGTGTAATTCAGGACACACACCTTGAAACTACTGGAGAATCTTGAAGATAAGCAGGGGTAATTTGAGGTTTTTTTAGCCTTGCAATTTAATGTTTACAAAAGTTGGCAGAACCCCCTTTAAATCAAAGGGGTAGCAGTAGCCCTCAAAGTCACTCATTTCAGGCTGGAACACTCCTGCCACTTCAGATTTGCAACATGCAGAGGACTGATGTGGATACGTGGAGCAGAGCCTGTAAACATAGCTCAAGACTGAGAGGGCACTTCTTAAAACCTCTATTCCTCTGCATACCACTGTCAGCTTATACCCACCTGAATGTCTATTAGTAAACTTCCCAGGGATATGGATTTCTGTCCAGAACTATGTGCATGACAGGGTTGGACAGTGCCTTTCAGTAGCTGATTATTGGCCCTGGATGTACGAGGTTCTGTGAAGGTCATGGGACTCAGTAGAGCAAGGAAGAAGACAAAGTTAGACCATCCAAGCTCTGAGTACTCTTGTCCCAGGACACACCCCTGCCTTCTGATTAAGTGGTTAATCCAAAATCACACAATAAATCATGAGCAGAAATAAAACCCAGTAGTCCTTTCCTACTAGAGTGATTTCTTCTTCTGTCAGAAGCTTTCCTCACTTCTCCCAGCATGACTGACTACAGAGTGTTCAATAAACCTTCTATCAAAACTTTGTTTGCCTAATCATCTGATGGGACCCATCTAATTAGCTGGCTGACATTGCTAGAGTGGGGCAATATTACTTGTCTTAATTACCTTTTCCCTATGTTCTGCTGTTGGAGAAATCCCTGACTGAAAGAGTGAGTAAACTGACATGTAATGTCCCTCTTCCTCTGCCAAAATAAGTTCTCTTTTCTTTTGCTCAGAATTAAAAATTCTAACAGACTGCCTCTGGTAGTTCTGGCAGGGACAGCGCCTGATGATATCTTTGAAACCATATGCAGCAATCCCAAAAGATAATCAGTGGCACAACAGGATACTTGAGTGATGAATTCACAAGACTTTTTTTCTATTTTGTCTAGAGATTTCTAGATTTGTCTCCATCTAAGCACTGACTAATCATCAGTCATCTCAAAGATGCAAAACCCATCCACCTTTCAGAAAATAAAAGCTAAAAAATGGATGTGAAGTGAAAATGACTTGGGAATTCAACCTGAGGGAGAGGAAGAGACTTTAAATCTTCTAATTTTTATGTATTTTTTTGTTCTCATGAGGTACACTCAGACTGTTTCCTGTGGCTAGAACAAACCTTTAATACATTCTGCATATGTGGACTTATGGTAATGTATTAATCTCCCATTTTCAGATCTGATGGATCTCTGTCTTGAGGCTTACATGATTAACTGCACTCAGCCACATATTACATTTCTTGTCCTGGTTGGTTGAACGTTAATTTCCTTTTCTGTACAGGTATTGTATAAGAAATCACTTGTCCACCGCATAAAATCTGTTAAGCTTCTGTAACAGGGTTTCCAGACAATAGGTGCCCCTTTAGGCCTGTAAACCTTCATGCAGTTAACACATCTTTCTCTGCCCCATCCTCTACATCCCCCTGAGCCAACCCAACAACAGCGAACCTGAAGCATGATCCTGGCAGGGTACAGTGGCAACTGTGGAAAGTGCTACTGATTGGAGAAAAAATCAAATTCAATTCAACCCACTTAAACTCTGTTTTGAAAGAAGAACACATTTCATGAGAATAACAGGCATAAGTGTTGCCATGTTGGATCATTTAGGAAACAGGAGATATCTTTTGCATTTTAACTCTTCTTATATCACTGTGCTGTTTGCATCTCTCTTTGCCGGATTGTCTGTCCAGTAGCAGACAAACTCTTTGGCTGTTCTGAACCAGCTTTGTGCAAAAGTACCTCTCTTAGGCTTCTGCAATATAGGGTACAGATTTTTTTTCTTCCCCCTCTGAAGTTTAGGAAATAGTGGTGTTTTGTATTCCAAAGTTAACTGGGATTAAAAGTCAGGGTAATTTGGCTACCAAATGACTAGTGTGCTTAAAAATGTCTAGAAAATATGAGTTTAGCAGGGGAGGAGCACATACCTACAAGAATGCATAATCATTCACAACTTTGATTTAATAGGTACTAAAAGCCCAATCCAAAGGATGGCCTCTATTAACAACTTATTAATAATTTCGCTCAGCTCTCTGTCTTCAGAAAACTAATTTGACAGGGTTGTTGGGGGTTTTCTTTACACTTTCTAATGGAATATCGTCTGTAATGAGTTCCTAATTTCCTGAATTGGGTTTGCTAACTAAAAAATAAAAATTCATTGGACTTACTTTACTGTGGAATAATTTGGGGTCATTCTCGCTGCGTATTTCGTGCTCAGTGGCACAGCAGCTGCTCAGCAAGGTGTCAGGTTATTAAATTTTTTTCTCTGGTGAGTCATGTGCAACTTGCTGAATTCAAGTACTCGTGCATGTATTCGAGATACCATTTCATTCATGTGGGTTGGATACCAGATAGATACTGCTGACACAAAACTCCAAGAGTCTGAGCATCAAACGAAAGGGAGGATGGAGAGAAAGAGGGCACCATCCAGATGAATTCATGTTATGGTTAGGTTCCCATGACTACTTGTTTGATAATTCTGCAGCAAATCAGACTAATACTGACATCTTCAAAATGATAAAGCTATCATTATTCTTGGCTCAGCATGGCACAGTGAGATGCGTGGATATGAACTGATTGTTACAGCAAGTTCTGTTCAGAAAGTGAGATAAAGTCAGGAGAGGAATAAGGAGAATGCTACTTTGTCCCAGAGGAAAAAATCAATCAATGCTTTCTTAGTAAAGATATTGGAAAAGTGATGTACCACCTTAACTCAAACACATCCTTTTTGCAATTCTAGAAGTACTCTAACATGGTTTTGGAAATAATATTATGAGTAGAATAGGGCAAGATTTCGATTAACAGCAGTTATTCACACCACATTAATAGAATTGCTCCATATAAAGTAGCAAATGCTGTGACTCTATATACATATGCAAGGATTCTTGTTTAACAATTATATGGTATTTTTGCCATGTGCAATGTTGCTGAAATCCAAAGGGAGGAAAATCAGGAAAAGCAGCATCTGTCTAGCTAAACTGAAGGCTGTGCTAAGCAAGAAGGAAGAAAAAATCTTATTAGGGAGAAATTTTTACTTTCTTTCAAGTTATTGTTTTCCTTATATCGTTTTTCATCTGCAGATAATATGCCTATGACAGCTCAACATTTTTTCAATAATAAAATAACATACAGTTAGAAAACAAATGTCTTTTCTCCCTGTCTCTCAAGTATTCATTTTCTCTAGAGATCTCTCAAAATTCATGCAAGAGGTCTCTTGTATGAATTGTCAAAATATGACAGTTCATCCAACCACTATTTTGTGCCAACTGGAGCATGTTTTCTAACAATCGCTGTTAGTCAGTACTTCATTTTTTTTTGGCCAGAACTGGCATTAGAAGTGCAGTGTCATGTATTGTTTTTGCTGCATGCATGGGAGACTTGGTGGGCAAATATTTCTTGTGTGGAGAATGAGCTCTGTCACTTCTTGGAGCAGGAGGAATGGAAAGGAGAGCTATTGCTAGTTGTTCTCCCAGCACCCCTTCCTCACACCTCTCTCTGTAGCTGTCTTGAAAGACTGTGCTTATAATTGATTGATGAAGGAGTCCTGGCCCTCTTCTTTGTAGTTTGATTTCCACCGAACAAAGCAGCTGTCAGAGATTTTGGTGATTCAGTCCCTGGTGCACGCTGAGGAGCTGGGTATATATAAAGTAGATGCTGTCATTTTTAAGGTTTTCT